TATCGCCGGCCCGCTATCATATCATCTTTACCGCTCTCTAACAATCCTAGGACCGAATCTGCGGTCAACTTGTCCACCCCCTTTGACAATGTCCCGACGGAGTTCATCCGTCTTAGCAACTAAGCTGTAGCCCAAACTTTACAGTAAACCTGTTGCCAGAATGATGATATGACTAGAACGTAGAGAGAACATTTAACTTTATCCTTACAGTTTGGAACAAGTAATGTGGTTGGTCCATTCAGTATGGCCTTGAAGGTTAATTGTTTTGATTGTCCAGCTGGGCTTTTAACCGCTCGCTAGTGGTCATTGCAGTTCCTTCTTCATGCTCACACACATTGCTCGAATGCAAGGTTTTGAGTTCTTTAATGTGTCTGCATCACTTTGCTAGAATAGAATATTAATGAGACGTTGATGTCCCATTTTAAGAACAAGGGTATAAGCATCTATTGAAATAAGTAGTTTTGTTCAGTCTCCACCTTAAGTGGTGGGGAATGGGTACATTTGGCTGAGTTAGTAACTATATGTACTAAATGTGCCTTTCTGGATAGTATACTGTAAATTTTGGTGAGGTTATAGGCACAGCAATGTAAAACAGAAGACAGTGGTAAGTTTCAAGTCTTATTAGCCTCTAGACTGTGATGGAAGGTCTGGGTACATTGTACCAGGGAAATACTAAATGTCAGCAAAAATAGGAGTACATTCTACCCTGGAAGCACTAAATGTCATCTACAAAATTGGGAGTCGATATTTTCCTGACTACATGTCATCTTTTAAAAAAAAAGTGAGCACATAGCACCATGGAAATACTAAAATATCAGCTAAAAAACAGGTCTCGCTGGGATTTGAACCCAGGTCGCCAGATTCAAAGTCTGGAGTGCTAACCACTACACTACGAAACCATTTGTTGAGTGTGATCCGCTGATGGTTATATTTCTGTCATTTGGCTTACAGACAAAATATTTTCCGTTATTCCATTGTTCCTTCTAAATTTCCTTACATTTGTTTTGGACTTGCTTCAGTTTGCCATTTGGCAGCTAAATGGAGCAAGGAATATCTGACGAATACTTTTTCTTTTGAATTGATTTTCGCCAAAGGCTCCATTGTGTGGGTATGATAATTTTGTCTCATTGGGTTGCTATTACAATTTACTGCGTGTTTTGAGTGTTTGTTTTGTGTTTTTCTCTTCTTCATTAAGCTTCAAGAATATTTATGCACTTAACAACACACATCATATGAGAGGAGATGCATTGGGACAACCATTGGATAATTTCTTTTATCTAGCTTCAACATGCTTAGCTAGTAGTGGATTTCAACCACTTGTTCTATGGCATCTTAAAAAATGAGCACATGGCAAAGACATTCTTACTTATTAGCACCAACCTCGTCGTGGCAGGCCCACCCTTCTTACACGTCTCCGATGTCTCACTTCTTTTGATCAGTAGTTGTAACCGTGCCTCCATACGAAGAGAACGTAGATAAGACATTTCACTTTATCCCTACAATTTGGAACAAGTATTACAGTCGGTCCATTCAGTCAGTATGACCTTCAAGGTTAATTGTTTTGATTACCCAGCTGGGCTTTCAATCGCTCGCTAGTGGCCATTGCAGTTTGTTCTTCATGTTGACTCACATTGCTAGAACACAATTTATTTTTTCTGGTATGGGTCTGCATCACTGATAGAATATAATATTAATGAGACATTAATGTCCCGTTTTAAGAACAAGGGTATAAGCATCTACGGAATTATGTAGGTCAGTCTTCAACTTAAGCAGTGAGGAAGGGATACATTTGGTTGCAGCGATCTGAAGTTGGTATCTATAGGTACTGAATGTGCCTTTTTTGGTAGTGTACTATAAATATTGGTAAGGTTATAGTCACACCAATGTAAATTACTAGAGTTATGTTCAAGTGTTATCAGCCTCTATTATTTGTACCATGGAAGGTCTGGGTACACTGGGAAATACTGAATGTCAGCATAAATAGGAGTACATTGTATTGTACCCTGGAAACACTAGATGTCAACTAAAAATTTGAGTACACTGTACTATGGAAATACTATATTGTTAGATAAAAAAGTAGGTCTCGCCGGGATTCGAACCCAGGTCGCCAGATTCAAAGTCTGGAGTGCTAACCACTACACTACGAAACCATTTGTTAAGTTGATCCACTGATGATTATTATATTTCTGTCATTTGGCTTACAGACAAAATATTTTCCTTTACTCGATTGTCCCTGTTAAATTTCCATCTGTTTTCTTGGACTTGCTTTAGTTTGCCACTTGGCAGCTAAAGTGAGCAAGGAATATCCAACGAATGTCTTATTTTATTTTAGTTTTTCAATTCATTTAGCCAAATGCTCTATTGCGTGGTACAATAATTTTGTCTCATTGAGGTGCTATTCAGATTTACGAAGTGTTGAGTGTTTTTTTGGTGTTTTTCCCTCTCTTTATTAAGCTTCAAGAATATACATTGTGCACTTAACAACACACAATATTTGAGAGCAGATGCATTGGGTCAACCATTGGATAACAAAATGTATCTAATTTCAATATGGTTAGCCAGTAGTGGATTTTCCAGCACTAGTTCTATTTCACCTTACAAAATAAACGCACGACCTAAACATTGTAACTTATCAGCACCACCCTCGCCGTGGCCGGTCTCTGATATCTCACTTCTGTGGATCAGTTGTAACCATAGTCCCCCTTCGACAATGTCATGACAGAGGTAATACTCTCTTAGCGACTAAGTTGTAGCCAAACTTTACTGCAGTAAACCTGTTGCTTGAATGATGATACAAATAGAACGCAGATAAGACAATTCACTTTATCCTTACAATTTGGAATATGGTTGGTCCATTCAGTATGACCTTGAAGGTTAATTGTTTTGATTGCTCAGCTGATCTTCCAACCACTCGCTAGTGGCCATTGCAGTTCCTTCTTCATGTTCATGCACATTGCTAGAATACATGATTTGAGTTCTTTAACATGTCTGCATCACATCGCCAGATTGGAATATTAATGAGGCATTGATATCCCATTTTAGAAACAAGGGTACATCTATCGAACTAACTAGGTCAGTTGAGTCTTCACAGTAAGCAGTGTGGAAGGGGTACATTTGGTTGCAGCGAATGTGCCTTTCTTGATCGTGTCTGTAAATTTTGGTAAGGTTATAGTCACACCAAGGTAGATCAGAGGACAGCGGTATCTTCAAGTTTACCATGGAAGGTTATTAGCCTCTAGACTGAGAGTAGTTGTACCATGGAAGGTTATTAGCCTCTAGACTGAGAGCAGTTGTACCATGGAAGGTTATTAGCCTCTAGACTGAGAGTAGTTGTACCATGGAAGGTTAGTAGCCTCCAGACTGAGAGTAATTGTACCATGGAAGGTTAGTAGCCTCCAGACTGAGAGTAATTGTACCATGGAAGGTTAGTAACCTCCAGAGTGCGAGTAGTTGTACCATGGAAGGTTATTAGCCTCTAGACTGTGAGTAGTTGTACCATGGAAGGTTTGGGTACCAGGGAAACACTAAATCTCAGCAAAAAATAAGAGTACATTGTACCCTGGAAACACTAAATGCCAGCTAAAAATTTGTGAGTCGATATTTTATCCAATACTAAACGGTCAGCCCAAAAAAGAAGTGAGTAGATTGTACCATGGAAATACCAATATGTCAAATAAAAAAATAGGTCTCGCCGGGATTCGAACCCAGGTCGCCAGATTCAAAGTCTGGAGTGCTAACCACTACACTACGAAACCATTTGTTGAGTGTGGTCCACTGATGGTTATATTTATGTCATTTGTCTTACAGACATAATGTTGATGGTTCCTGTTAAATTTCCTTCCGTTTGTCAATTGTACAGGTCTGCATCACGTTGCTTGAATATGAATACAATATTAATGAGGCATTAATGTCCCTATTTAAGAACAAGGGCATAACCATCTAGTATCATAATAACTAGTTCAGTTCAGTCTCCACCATAAGCAGGCCGTGTGGAAGGGGTACATTTGGTTGCAGCGATTAATCTTAAGTTAGAATATTGGTACGCAGCAATGGCAGACAGATTGACGAACTTTATGACTGCAGATGCACTCCATATTCTTGCACGTAAGGAAATTGAGGAGAATGGCTGGATTCCGTGATTTCAACAGAAAACTGGTGAAACTGGAATGGGTACTCAACTGGACTACCTTTGTGACAGCAAGGGTGATCTGCCACATATTGATCACATACAGACTGATCACCGACGCACACAAGTTTGATAAGGGCATTGAGCTGCCACTAGCTCTTTCTGGTATGGCGGGAATGAATGTGCTCAATGTATCTTTAGGGCTTGATCTATTTAAAGCATTTGCGCGAGAGAGAAATCAGCAGACGCATCAGGACTGAATGTTCTTGGCAGTGTAGTGTAAATTTTGGTAAGGTTATAGTCACACCAATGTAAATCAGAAGACAGAGGTATGTTCTAAGTGTTGTTAGCCTCTAGACTGTGGTGACAACCCATATATGTAACCTGTTATGTATGATGAATTTGTCTCGCCGAAAGATTCTCTGGCTACGCCAGCATTAGTGGAATTACATCATGACTTACATAGACAACCCGACCTGGATCCACCATTTGCACAGATTTTTTAAAGTAGAAAGCAAAGGAAGTGTTTGTATTGTTTAGCCCTTCACCTAATGTACTAACAGATGCTTAGGCGACTTTTTTGCAAGCCTTAATTTCTTTTTGGCTTACTGTTTCTATTTAATGTTTCATTGTGAATGTTATTTGTGCATGGTTTTTGATACTTATTCTTCAACACATTTCTTTCACTTGTGAGTTTTGTAGCACGGGAGGTATGTGCCTTGTAGCAGGGAAAAAAGCGTGAGTACACAGTACCATGTAGATACCAAATGTCAGGAAAAAAAAAAGAGTCTGAGTACATTGTAAACTGAAAATACTAATCTCTAACAAATATGAGTACATTGTAAATGGCTAATGTTAGTTTTAAACTAAAAAAATGAAGGTCTCGCCGGGATTCGAACCCAGGTCGCCAGATTCAAAGTCTGGAGTGCTAACCACTACACTACGAAAAATGACTGCTGTCACTGGTAATTATATTTGTCTTAGTTATGCTAGATGTTACACAAAAAAAAGTAGGTCTCGCCGGGATTCGAACCCAGGTCGCCAGATTCAAAGTCTGGAGTGCTAACCACTACACTACGAAACCATTTGTTGAGTTTTTTCGCTGGTAACTCTATTCATCTTATAGACCGAGCATTTTCCTTTTACGTTTGGGTTAAATTTCCTTTCTGGTTTTTTTTTGGACTTGCTTTCGTTTGCCACTTGGCAGCTAATTGGAGCAGGGTATATCCGACGATTATAGCTTCCTTTGTTTTCCTTGTTCATACCAGCGTTTTCGCAAAAGACTCCATTGCCATCATCTACCATTCTCCGGCTATCCTCCTAGGACCGAAGCGGCCCCCAATTTGTCCGCCCCCTTCGATATTGCCACGACGGAGGTGAAATGCCAGCATCGTCTTCGTCACTAATCTGTGGCTGAGGTCATGCCACAATGGGAGAATGTCACCGCTGTGGCGAAGAGGCGGAGTAGACGAGTTCGTCGGACCTCACGCGAATCTACACCAAGATTCGGAGGCCAGAAATCCAGTTTACTAATTTCCACAAAAAGAATTTACTAGTTGTGCGACGGATGGCACTGCCGATACCAGAAACGCCAGCCATGCCACTCACAGTCCACTTCGCTAGACTCCAAACGCAGTACAGTACAAATTACAATGTACCAGTGGCCTCGCACGCGTGGCACCGCGGCAGCCTGGCCCTGCAGCACTTTTCAGTGAGGCGAGCGTACTACCAACTCCGTCGGCTCCCGGGCCGTTGTTCGATCGCACAAACCGTATCAGCTTAACGAGAGGGCTGTCCACGTGTGCATCGCCCCGGCCATTGGCCGGATTCGGGGAAACGTGGTCTCCCCGCTGCCCTTCGCGCACCCTATCCTCGCCCCGCCCGCTCGCCAATCACGCGCCCCCGCAGCGCCACACGTAGGCGCCACCCCGTGCCGTGCGATCTCATAAAATGTGGCCGCGCGGCCGCAGAGCAAAGTCCCCCAAGATACAGCACCCTCACAGCCACAGACGACGCGCGAAGCGATATCACGAGTGAGAGTCTAGGGGCCATGGCACAGTCGATGCTCATGTCCGGCGTCAACGGCGTGGCCTCCGGCAGGAGCCTGCTGCAGGCGGCGCGGCCGTCGTCGGCGTCCACGCCCTTCTCGCGGCTCGCGCTCTCCTCGTCGTCCTCGGCGGCGTACTACAAGCACATGCCGTCCCTCTCCGTCCGGACCATGGCCCTGTTCGGCAAGAAGACCAAGGCCGCGCCGGCCAAGAAGGTTCGAGCCTAGCTACCTGATATCTTGTTCACCAATGCAGGTCTGCCTCTGCTTGTTTATCTGACGCTGGATGGCCTTGTGTTTTGGTTATATGTATATAGGTCGCTGCCCCCAAGCCCAAGACGGAGGACGGCATCTTCGGCACGTCCGGCGGGATCGGTTTCACCAAGGAGAACGAGCTCTTCGTCGGCCGTGTTGCCATGATTGGCTTCGCCGTGAGTGCTCCTGCGGCATGCACGTTTTTGTTGTTGCTTTTCTTTTATGTGTGGATCATTCCAAGCGTAGAATAACAACAGAACTAGCTGCTGAACAAACAACAGAACTAGTTGATGGTTTTATACTATTCAGTTCAAAGTTCAAACTCAAACATATAGTCAAGAAGAGAAACTAGAAACCGAGGGCAAATTTACCAAAAGCTTACACAATCGCTCAAAAAGAAATTCCCATGTGAATTAATAGGACGGAAGGGAAAAAGCTTAGGTTTTTTTAGGATAATATATAACGGTGCAGGCTACTTACAAATATGTGGATTTGCTATATAGTGTGGAATTTAAACTACTCTAGTATATTTCCAATCATCAAAATAATAAATAGTTTAAAAAAACTTTGGCAAATTTCAGTGATTTTCTGTAATTTGTTCAAAGGAAGTTATAGTGTGTTTCTGTAAATTGTATGAGAAAATTACTAGTTCCTCCCAACCATATTACTTGTCACAGCTTTAGTACAACTATGGAAGTAGCTTAATTCTTTTAGGGAAACTTTACTGGCTTAGTTAACTAAAGAATTATACATAATTTATAATATGTTTTCTTAATTATTTAAATTTTTATTTTTTTCCTAAATTTTCATAAAACAAAATCGTAATGCAAATTTACTCTAAAGATTATACTACTCTATAGAATGAGAAGGGTTTAGAATAGGACTGAGACTCAAGAGAATTGTTTCTTTTTTGCGGTAACTCAAGAGAAGAACACTAAACTTCAGAATAGTATTTTGCTATGCTGCATCGAAATTATGTTTAGACGGCAGTGTACATTGCACTACTAGTGAAGCAAAACAAACTTCTCTTACGAAGGGAACAGTCAAAATGAACTTCTTACAAAGTGAACGGTCAGGATGAACTTCTGAGCGCCTGATGATAACTGTTTTTACTGTTGATATCAGGCATCGATCTTGGGAGAGGCCATCACCGGCAAGGGCATCCTGTCCCAGCTGAACCTTGAGACCGGCATCCCGATCTACGAGGCGGAGCCCCTCCTCCTCTTCTTCATCCTCTTCACCCTCCTCGGCGCCATCGGCGCGCTCGGAGACCGCGGCAGGTTCGTCGACGAGCAGCCCACCGGCCTCGACAAGGCCGTCATCGCCCCCGGCAAAGGCTTCCGCTCCGCCCTCGGCCTCAGCGAGGGAGGTACGTAGCAGTTAGCTAGATCGATTTCCATGGCGTCTTCGCGCCTCTACGACATGCATGTCTGATGATTTTGTACGATGCATGCTGCAGGGCCGCTGTTCGGGTTCACCAAGTCGAACGAGCTGTTCGTGGGGCGGCTGGCGCAGCTGGGGATCGCCTTCTCCATCATCGGGGAGATTATCACGGGCAAGGGCGCGCTGGCGCAGCTCAACATCGAGACCGGGGTGCCCATCAGCGAGATCGAGCCACTCGTGCTCTTCAACGTCGTCTTCTTCTTCATCGCCGCCATCAACCCCGGCACCGGCAAGTTCATCAGCGGCGAGGAGGACGACTAGAGATCACGCGCGAATGCTTTTTGGCCATTAATTGTACGTCCGTCCGTCCGTGCTTTGCTTGTTTGTTGTGTACGTGAGACCTTGGGGTGTACTTAGGTGTAAGAAAGAAGTTGGTCGTTGCCTTATGAAAAACAAGAGCTAGCAGCTAATTTGCCATGCATGCCGACAGTTGCGGATCTATCGTCTCGGATTCTTGATCGTTCCCTTCTACCTTAATGAAGCGTACAGTAAAATTCTTGAAATGAAAAACAAAAGGCACGACTATATGCAAGCCGCCTCGAAAAAATCGTGCAAGTCGATTTTGCCCAGCCGCTCGATTGAAATCCTCCGGCTGGGCACCCTTCCTCCTCCGGCCTCTCCTCTTCTTTCTCCTCCAACAACTCGCCTCCATGTGTTACCTCTCGCTATGACCTCGCGTTGTCCCCGCCTCCAGCGAAGTCATTGTCTAATCCGAGCGGGAATAAAAAAAATAATGGCACCCCCACCCGCACCTGTCACGCCCTCGCCTCGTCTCCACCTGCCACGTCATGTCCGACGCCAGCTTGTTCCTAGCTCGGCCTCAGAGCTCCACTCTGCCTCCCTTCCTTCTTCATGAAAATCGACTTACACCAATGCGATTTTCAGGAACCTTATGAATAGCAGATGAAAAAAAAATCAGTTGTGAACTACAAAAGGCACCTTGACCTATCTTTTTTTCTTGAAGTGATGGAGTATTTTCAGAGACAGACAAATAACGGTCCATGGCAACCTTTGTGCTTACCAATGATGTCGCATGCCATCGTGAGAAGGATAACAGAAACAACCATCTTTCCAGTACTAGAATCACACAATCGCCATTGGTTTTGCTAGTCACAATAGTCATCCGTCTCGAAATACAGGATCAATTTTATTGTTCAAAACACACGGCGAGGGACACGCTGCATGCTTCTCTAGCCCACATCTAAGATTATCACCAGCCATTATCGAGGAAGGTACTCACTCTCGTGCACAGCACCACCACCGCATGGAACCAAAGCATCGGATGGTCATTAACTTCTAAACGGTCCACCAGATCAAATGAGCAACATGCTAAAACCTACACTCATTATTCATTGGTATCGTAGCAAGCACCGTCAAAACAAAGGCAGAGCGGGAAGGACTTATTCCAACCTAAGAACACTGCATTCCACCACCCCTTCGCCATCCTCCCCAAGATAGTGTAACACAAAAGCATTACCATTTCCTCGCTTTGCCACTGTGGATCTATGCAAGGTA